CCATTATTGGTTTTTTTTTTCTTTCTTTTTTTCCTTTAACTTTCCGGTTCTTCAATTTTCTTTTACTCAAAACTTTTAAATCATAATATTTTGATTCTACACTTTCGATATTTCTAATTTCATCTGTGAAGTTAAAAAAAATTAGTACTCGTCTCAACAAATTTATGTAGCTTCAATATTGGAAGTTTTTCTTTTAATTTTCCTCCTAAATTCTTTATAATCGAAATAATATATACATATATATTAGAAGTTAGAATTTACCCTTTCAATATAACATTTTACTTTATCACTCTTTAAGTACGAAATGAAGATAAAAGAGTAAAAATGATTATCTTTTTTATAGTTTAGAATCTCAAAATAAGAGCTAAAAGATCAAAATTGAGTCCAAAAGAACAATAGAAAAATCTCCAAAATCCAAAACTAAAATAGAAAAATCTATAAACTTCAAACTATCATTGAAACGTTTACTATTTTTATGGGAAGGAAACCCTTTTGGGGGCTGTTTTGTTAATTAACTTCAAACGGCAATGCAGCTGCAGATATGAGTTGTAAGAAGGCAAAGCTGCCGGATCAAGTTCGAGCCCCGGCGGTCTTCAAGTGCGTTCGGGTGACTGCGGTGGAGGGCGGTGGTGGCGGCGGGAATGAATACGCGTATCAAGCCGTCGTGAGGATCGGCGGGCATGTGTTTAAAGGATATCTATATGATCACGGTGTGGAAGCTAGAGATGGGTTTCCGATGTTTTCCGATTTGCATCTCGGAGGAGGCGGAGACGGTGGTTCGACGTCGTCACCGGCAGTTGATCCCACCGATGTTTATGTGAGTTCCGGTGGTGGCGGACTGGCCGGAGGTTCCAGCTATGGTAATCCAATAAATTGAGTTATTTTTCTCATGTTGGGCTTAGGGATCCATATTGTTGAACATATTCACTGTTGGGTTATAGCTTTTGAATTTGTTTAGTGGGAAAATAAGAATTTAGGCGCCCCTACTTATGGTTTATTTTTATTTGTATACTTATATTGCATTTAATAAAGGGTAGATTGGAAGTTTAAATTTCATTTTAGTCCCTAATATTTTCTTTAAAAGTTTAATATGATATGATCTCTAATGTTTAAGCATTAATGTAGGTATCTATTTAGTTCTAGAACTTTAAAAAATTAATGAGCTGGTTCTTAGTGTTAATTTGCCCGTAATATTCGTCACTAAATTAGTACTACATGATTTTGTTACATGTTTTGTCCATATGTTAATGTACACATATATAGATGTCCGAGCTAGTTTATTAGCATTTCTACTAATCTCACGGAAAACCATCTAATCGTACTACATTTGATTGTAAAAAAAATACGTATGATATTAAATACTAGGTAGGTCATAGGATTTAAACTTATTCCCTCTAAAATCTTTTTGAATTTCCTTAGTTTCTTCAGACCAATGAGTCAACCCACTATGATTTTAATATACATATATATATTCGAAGACATTTCATCTATATCCACTATACAGTCGGTGATAAATTAATAACAACAACTGAACCAAAGCGATTATAGCTTAATGGTAATTGGCATATATATTTTAAAAATTTCATTATGAAAATGAGATTCAGTAAAAATGAACCAATGGGAATGTAGGTACTTTTTTTTTTTTGAAGAAAACGAATTTGACCCTTAGATTTGATTATGTTTTTCAAATAAAATTTCCACTCTCCTCTTTCTTTCTTTTAATTAAACTATTGGGTGCTGATGTTGTTTACAACATTTCTAGCTTTGATTTGAATTATTGAAATTAATCGATCTGATTTTTTAAAAAGCATGAATCCAACTAATTAAGGTATATTTTGTACTTAAAAATATAAATATTTATGGATCAATACCTATCTTTTACTAACCGGCATAAAATTTTTACGAATGGGGGAAAAGTACATAAAAAAATATATATTTTTATATTATTTATTAATCTAAAAGACCACCAATTTTATTGGTGGTCAGGATGGATGGGGGACAGATGATACTTAGTATTGTTGTTTTGCTATTTTGACAGTTCTCTTTTGATCATTCTAAAATACTGAGAAAAAATTCATTCATACACTGAAATTAAGTCAATGCTTAGACCTTAAATTTTATCAAATTAGATCTAAATTTGAATAAGTGATTAAATTAATTTTTCTTTTTACTAATAATAACAAAAATTAAAAAGACAGATTTCTCGGTGTAACCCATCTCCGATCGGGGAATCCCTGCCCCATTTCCGTCCCCAAAATTTCTATGAGACGGGATGGGAATGTGGGAAAAAATCCTGAATGGGGCGGGGATGGGGATGGCCCCGGCCCCGCCCCGTTGCCATCTTATAAGTGCATGCTTTTTAGCTAAAGTTCGTTAGGGGTACTTTATGCTGCGGATAGTTTATGATAACTTTCATAATTGGGTTCTGGACAATTATGTGGCTTTATTTTTAGTATTTTGTTAGGTGAATTTTATTTTTATTTTTTAAAAAAAAGTCAGGATAATTTTAACATGAAGAGAATAAATATGTCATTTACTGCTGAACTATTTTCATGTCCACAAATTTTTACGTAATTTATTTATCAGCGTTCATGAATATTTTTTTAGTTTTTGTATTGATGAGATATTAATTTTACCACTCATTTAATTGATTTTTTTTTTGCCAACATGAGCATAGTTGAGCGATTAAATCGTTCATTTCTCTTATCAGAATTCAAATCCCATCCAGTAAAAGTTTATTTATTTCATCCCATAGATCAAGAGTCTACCAAAATAATCCAAGTCGAGACCCAAGAATAAATGGTGCACTAAAGACTTCTTAGCTACTCTGTCAATAATTTTGACATCCTCCTCATCTAGCCCATCGACTATACTAACATTGACGTAGATGTCAATTTTAATTGAAAAAGTATCAATGACCCGTTTGTAACGTTCTCGTTTATTGCTTATGTTTCCTCGTTTTTAATAATAATAAAAAAAATTACATGCACGTACAACACCATGGATTCAACAATGATAAAACAATATTTTTATTTATATTTTAGAACAAATTAGAAACGAGAACAAGAAACACGAAACTCGTTTTTTTTTCCAAAATCTAAATACAATTTTGAGATTGTTTCTAAAAAATAAGGAAAAATATAAATAATTGTCAAATGCTAAATTTCTTAATAAAATTCGAAACGAGAAGATTACTATTCTTCTAAAAGGCATCAAACATGGTTGGAATGACTCTCATTCACAAACATTCTTCTAGCTCATTGTCTGAGCTGAGCAATACAATGACCAGTACGAAACCCCAAAACTTCATGGTAGGTAATACCACAAGGCCCAATACTCTTGTCATCGTCATAGAACAACATTCTCCTTCAGCTACAATAAAGTTCTCAGCTAGTCACAAATTGAAAAAAAATAAATAAATAAAAGATATAACTTATATAAAGCTTAGGATTCTTTTTTAACGATATTAATGAAGTTTATAAAGTTAACATTGATAAAAATAAAATAAAACATTTTTCATTTTTAAAAATTCATTGCCCTCCTAAAAATTATAATTTTAAATTCCATTTGTCGAAATATGTTGGTGCAACCCTTAAAAGATGATTTGCAAATTTGAGCACTAAAATTAATTTGGATACTTTGTCTAGCTAAGCCCAATCTAATCGTATACAACTCTTAAAAGAGAATTTTCTGAAAATCAGGAGTTGGGAAATTGTTGAACTAATTAATTAAAAACAAATAGAAGCAATATTTTGTTGTTTTCTCAAGTAGTTGTTCAATTATGAATATTAATTATTATTATTTTTCAACTATATTTTGATTTAAGTAGATGTATTATATTTTAAAATAAATCTGTAGGATGAGCCAATGAAAACAAAATAACAAAAATATATATCTTTTAAAGATTATTTTTTTTTTTCAGTTCAAAAATTACAAGAGTAGAAAATTGAACCACTGGCCTTAGAGATGATAATAGATATATTTATATCCACTTGAGTTATGTTCGTATTGACTTCTAAAAATTGATTAGATTACTGCAACTTTTATAAACTTTAATTTCAAATACATATCTATGCTTTTAAAAAATCTACTACTATCCTTTGCTTTTGATTAAAACTTTACCCAAACACCTCTTTTAGGAATAACACAAATAAAAAACATTAAGTTATATGCATTTGCACTTTGAAACGAGCTACAGAAATAATCTAAAGGAATATTATACCATTTTTTCTCCAAAACTAACCAGCTCCAACCAAAAACAATACTTTAAAACGTTTTATATACCACCAAATTATTGAAACAAAATCTCTTATATCTAGAAACTCATTTTAAATATCCACAAACATATAAAAATTAGCAATTAGATAAATTTGTATTACTTTTATAGTGATGAGAATATATAATTAAAGGATAAAAGATTGTCAAAACAAGTATAGCTAAGCATGTAATTAGCACATATTTCCAATTAAGAGGCTATGAATTTAAACCCTACCCCTACTCTGCCTGTTGTACTAAAAAAGATGAAATTAAATCAAGGTTAAAATATATATAGAACTTAATTAATTATATAATGTAATTCAACCTAAAAAGACTTATCCCTACAAAACAATTTTTCGACCAAATAAATAAACAAGCAAACAAAAAATTGTCATATGTGCCGACAAAATATGGGTGCTTGTATATTACTCTAAGTTTTCATAAAAAAAAAAAAGTTGTAATGTCACAATCACAAGTTGCCCAACAAAATAGAGAGAAAACCAAACCCCAAACAAAAGACAAAGATTATTACCAAAAAATAAAAATAAAAATAAAAACTTTCAGCCCACAATAATACATACTTGGAGAAATATATGCAAAATCTCATGAATAAAAACAACCTTATGCTTTCTTTTTTCTTTTTTGTGAGAGAATAAAAATAAACCTTGGAGCTTGCTTCTTCTAGTGTGTGTTATTACATTGGAGTTTGTGACCATACCAAACATAATAGTAAATATTCCCTTATCTTTGAATTTTGAGCACAAACTTTATTGTAGACTTTTTGTCTTCATTTTTATTTTATTGATCAACCCAAAATTATAGTAATAGTAATTTATTTACATGTCTATCAAAAAAAAAATTATTTACATGGGTACGAGGGCTATGTACACATTTTTTAAGTCATCAAACAAATGAAGTTTCTTGTGGCACTTAAAATAGAAAAAATGGAGTGGTCATCCATAATTTAAATTTCTTACTTTGGCTTACAATTCCCTAGTAGTGCATGGATAATATCTTCAACATTGAGTATGATCATCCTTTTCAATTTTACCTTTAATGCATGCATTAAAAATGTTTAATAAAGTGATCCTATGAAAAAATAGTATGTTAAAATTTATTATTAAGTAATTGTTTTGTTGATATATTCGGTATAGACATGTAATTAGGACATGCCATTGGTAAGAAATAAACCTTTTTGATGAGCGTATCAGATTTTGTCAATGGACAAAGTTAATTTCATGCATATTTATTATGTGTCAAAATTAGTTAATATATAAAAACAATAATGTAATAATGCATCAATTTTTTGTGAACAAATCTTTTAACCATTTTCTTAGGGAAGTATCCAATTGATAATTTTTATACATTAAAATTGAGAATTTTTTAAAAAATATTAAAGATCAAATTGAAAATTTTAAAAGATTAAGGACTAAATTGAGAATTTTAAAAGATTAAGGTACCTACCTTAAAAGATTAGAGACAATTTGGTATATTTAGTCTTTTCATTACTTATAACTATTGGATTAGGAAGACTAGAGTATAAGTAATGTCTGCATAAAACTATTTCCTAAAACCTCCGACGTTTAGAAAGATAAGAATGTCTTAATCAATTGAGTTATGTTTATATCGGTAATTTTTTATTTTTTCTGTTTTGGTACATCAAGCGGGATTGGGGAATTTGAACTCATGACATTTTGGTTAGAAATAGATATCAATTACCGTTTAATTAAACTCATTGTTGGCCTTTTAAACACAAATGAAAACTTATCCACTAAAAACCAAAATATAAATTCAATGTG